AAAGAGTCAAATTAAATCTAAAAAATATTTTGGCAAAGAGCCTGAGATTATTAATATGCCATTCACTCAACAACAAATTGATTGGCTATTTCAAAATAATGATTCTTGAGCAATTGCTTTTGTTCAAGTTTTAGGTCAAATTGATAATCATTTTCCTGCTGGTAAATTATTACACTTTGCATGGATAATTCTTTAAATTTTCCTAAAATAATATAGAAATTCCAATAAAAGATGCTGCTTTGATTTTTACTAATGGCTCGTCTAATGGAAAATCAGCCTATGTAATCAATAAAAAAAGGATATACAATCTAGACTACTACTGCTTCAACTCAAATATTAAAAAAAGAGGAATTGTGGGAGCCAGTGACTCAGTTTCCAAGTTTGAATCTGAAGTCTGTTCTGAGTCAATAGTATTCAGGCTTGCTTGCTCCAGGGCTGTGAGAAAGTCCTGATTAGCCCATGGGAAGGAACACACTGTCTAGTTAGACACAGGCTGCTGCTGGCCTCAGGCTGCTGACATCTAGCTGGGAGGTACATCAAGATAGAAAATGAAATGGCCTGCTCCTTGACCCAAGGACAGGGTAGACAATGGTTGAATGCCTGTGCTATGCACTGTTCTACTTCTACCCTTCAAGTTTATATATAAGCTGGCTGTGAAATAAACTCAGGCACTGTCCGGCATTGACTGGCCATCCCCTTGACTCTGTTCTGTCTTCTTCATTGTCTCCACAATCCGCAGGCCTCCACACAGCTTCCTGGTCAACTCTGGAGGTGAGGAATTAGCTCTGAGCTCTCTCTTAATGCCTTCCATTTTGTCTCCCTTTCTTCAGAGACACAAGGCAATCAGAGGTTAAGAGCAGGGTGGAAATCCAGGATATCATCAGGGGTGAGTAGGGTTAAGGCTCCTGGGCTTCCTTAGCATGCCCTGGCTGTGCCCACCTCCTGTGGCTTATCTACTTAGCAGATTCACTGATCTTTCTCACCCATGTCTCTTGCTCTTCACTTTGGTCTGAGCTAATCCACTCAGGGTTGGAATGCCCAGGCTTGGGAAGGGCTGCAACCCCTCATCAGTGAGGCACACGGGGAGGGACTTCGGGATCAGAAGTGATCATAGAAGCTGGAAGGTCTCTCTTCCAGTTAAGTCTGGTGGCCTTAGGGCTTCTTGGTAGTGATAGAAACTGCTCATGCGAGCTGAGAGCTTTGCAGACCCCAGGCATGCAGACCCCTTCTTTGGACCTTTGCTCTGCTCCAGGAGGCCAACCAGTCTCTTGGGACAGGCCAGATTTTGACTGTCCTCATCAGTTTCCACCTCTAGGGCTCTGCCTTTCTCCTACAGCACCCTAAGGATTTTGGGTTACTATTGCCAAGTTTGGCAAATACAAGCACAGCCCCCAGGTTAATCAAATTGCAGACAAACAATGAACACTCTTGAAAGGTATCTTGGCATGTACAGTGTTTAGCATATCCTCATTCTTTAAAATCTGAATATTGGAGTATTGGGAGATAGTTCAGTGAGTAAACATGCTTGTTGGGCAGTGTACGGCCCCAAGTTTGGATTTCCGGCACCCACATAATTCTAGCCCAAATACAAAGCTTCAGGTTCAGTGACCCTGCCTCAAAAAACAAGGTTGGGGAGCTGGTGAAAAGGCCCCATGAGTAAGAGCACTTCCTCCACAACCCCGAGGACCTGAGTTGGGACACCCAGCACTCAGGTTAAAAAAATTCCTGAATGGCTATGAGTGTCTATACCCTCAGCATGGGACATGGTAGGCAAAGAGACAGACAGATATCAAGAGCCCTTTGGCCAGCCGGCCAGCCCAGGGGAACAACTGGAAGGCCAGTTGAGACATGTCACCAGGCACTAAGGTAGACAGAGATAAAAGAAGAAACTCTGTGTCCTGTTCTGACTTCTGCATAGTGACATGCATATGTAGCATGCATGTGCTCCCACACATGCTCGAACTCATGCATGCATACACACACTTCAGTAATGACAGAAGCATATTTTAATTTTGTGCTATGTCTACAGGATGTCACTATGTAACCCAGGCTAGCCTTCAGCCTGGATTGTTTCATCTCGGCCTCACAACTGCTGGAGATTACAGGCAGGCAACACCACACTCAGCTATAGTTATACTTTAAAATGAAATGTTTGGAGCCTGGTTTGTGGTGCCGTCCTGTAATCCCAGGAGGTTGGCACAGGAGGATCACAAATCCAGACCAATCTGGCTACAGAGTCACTTCAAGGTCAACTTGGACAACTTAGTGGAACTCTTGTCTCAAAATATAAAGTAAAAAGTGGGTTGAGCCTGGCATGGAGGCTCATGCCCATAATGTCAGCCCTCAGGAGGCTGAGGCAGGAAGGTTTCCACCATGAAGAAGTTCAAGGCCAATCTGTTTAATCTCAATCTGTGAGATCCTGTTTAAAAAACGAGTTAAGTAGGTACATAGATAGGTAGGTAGGTAGGTAGGTAGATAGATAAATAGATAGATAGATAGACTGAAAGACAGACTGAAAGACAATGAAAGACAGATTGAAAGACAGACAGGCAGACAAATAACCTATGTCAGGCTCTATTCAACTCTCTGAACTTCAAAATAAGTAGTTGATGGCCTGGAGTGGCTCTGCAGGTAAGGGTCTTGCTGCCAAGCTTGGCAGTCTGAGGTTGGTCCCTGAGCTTACCCAAGGAAAGAGAGAACTGACTTAACAAACTGTTCTCTGACCTATGCAGGCATGCCATGGCACAAGGTACTCCCCATTCAATAAACAATGTGCAACAAGTAAAAAATTGGTAAATGCTTGGTTTATACTTCCACAAAAATATTATGCATTGGTTATCTAAAACTCAAATTGAATTGGATATCGTTTCTATATTTCCTTGGAGGCTGGCTGATTTGGGATGCATCTTAGCAAGTCAGAACAACAAACCTGGGGTTAAGAATAGTCTAGAAGACGTGGAGAGAGGACTTCTCCTCTTTGCTTAGTACAACAGCTGCCAGGGACCTCCGACTCCCACTGGACAACACCAGTAGAGTAGGTTCTGTCTTGCTGGTCACAGAGAACGCCCACTGAGGTCAAGGTCCATCTCTGGTCAATTTGCCTGAGCAGAGGGGTCTCAATGTGGCTGCTGCCTCCTCGGGGTGAAAGGGGAAGAGGCTCCAGATGGGAAACGGTGAGCTGGACAGACCCTGCAAAAGATTCAAGCTAGGATGAGTGCTAGGGTAGAGTTGGCCACCTCGATACAACTGTCCACCTGGACCAGACTTCCTGGGAACTAGAGGAAAGGCATGTGTCCCAGAGGGGTGGAGGCAGAAAGAATCTATGGGTCCCAAGGAGAGGCTGACACACCAGGTCTAAACCACTTGGTACCTGCTTTTCTTGGGTTATAAATGGGCATTGTAGTGAGGCCAGGCTCAGGGCTGCCTGGAGGACTGAGGGCTATGTTGAGAACTCTGTCTGCTCGGTTGGTGGGAGCTGCTATGAGCAGTGTCTGGAAGGGACATGCATGACACAGGTGTTTTAAGTGAAAACTCTGAAAAGATCTCAGGTATCAAGCCATAAAAGGAAGGGAGGTGGGACCTATGTGGCACATTCTGCCAGTACAGACCTGGACCCAATTTTCCATGGGAAGCCATGAGCAGGATGCATCTGATTTCCCCTCACACATGCTCAGGACTCTGCACATCTCATGTACTGGGGACAATCATATTTCTTGGCCTTAGGAACCTGCTTGGTCTGGATTTATAGAAATCAACAGTGTGACCACATTCTCCCTCTTTCAGTTCTGAGACCTCTGTGCCCTGGTGGGATTCAACAGAATTGCAGAGGACAGCATGGACTGTGAGGTTCATTTGTTCAAAAGCAGAGATGAGGAACACAAATAGAGTCCCAGGATGTCCCGGAAATATACACATATTCTTGCAGGAAACCCTGCCAAGGGCGGGACTGTGGAGGTCCCACAGGTACTATAGTTAAGTGGTGTCAGGGTATAAAGGAACCACCCAAGGGGCTCAGACCACACAGCACAGGTAAGGAAGGAGGTGGAGCAGGAGAGACCAGAGGGGAAACAGAGGATGTGTTGAGCCAGATAGAGACTGAACCCTGAGGGACAGATGGAGGGGTTTGCAATATGGAGTTTCTTTAGGAGTAGCTTTAGACTTTGTGGAGCCCAGTGTGATATGACATCATGGGATCTCTTGTTAAGAGCTGAGTTGGAATGGAAGCACTGTAACATTGGGTGGTTGCAGTGTGGGCATGTGGGTGAAACCATCCCAGGGCCCTTCAGAAGCCTTCAGAGATGTGGAAAAAGAGGGTTCCCAAATGTTCCCTTGTCTCAATCTGGGGTGTTGTAATCCCAAATCTGGTGTCTTTTCCTCAGAGCCTTTTTGAAGTCTTGTGCCCCAAACCCTCAGGAGCCATGCTGCTGTTGCTGACCTTGGCTCTCCTTGCTGGTGCCACCTGCAGAGCCCAGAGTGAGTACCTGAGCCTCCTTTGTGGCCTTCACCTCCTGTGTCCTCTCCTAGGCACAAGGGGCTATAGTGTGAGAGTGGCCCTGAGTGTTTTCTGTCTCACTTTCCCCAGATGTACTGGGCAATAATAGAGGCACCTATTTCTACATTGTTGATGAAGGGAAGGGGGAAATCAAGTCCATTCGGATCTTCTATACAGCAGCAAGACGTCTCAAGGGGTGAGTAGGTTTCATCCTCCTTGGCTTCCTGTAGTACTCCCCAGCTGTGCCTGCTTCTGTGGCTTGTCTAGAATGCTCACCTGAGCTAGCCCACTCAGATCTGGAATGCCCAGGCTCGGGTAGGACTAGACAATCCTCAGAGAGGCAGGTGGAGAGGTACGTCCGACTTTCTGATTCACAAAGGATCATAGAGGCTGAAGGGTCCCTCCTCCACATAGTTCTGGTGGTCCTAGTGCTCCTTGGCAGTCACAGGAACTGCTTATATGGTCTGAGAAACGTCCCTGCCTTCACAGGACATGAAATGATGTGTGGTTCACTCTCTTATTCTGGACCTTTGCTCTGCTCCAAAAAACAAACAAAAAAAAAAACACAAACAGCCATTCCCTAGGGACAGGCCAGGTCTTGACTGTCCTCACCAGCATCTTCCTCATGATGTCTGCTGTACTCCTAGAGTGCCTCAAATGCCTTTTGCTACTGATGCCAAGTTTGTTATGTCACAGTCCCCAAGGTTAATAGAATTTCAGATGTACGGATGGAAGTTTCTCAGTTCTGCCTGGTCCTACAGGAGCTGTATTTATAATCATCATTCAGAGGCTTAATATTATTTACAAACTGCTTGGTCTATGGCTCAGGCTTATTGCTAGCTAGTTATTACATCTTAAATCAACCCGTTTCTGTTCATCTATGTATCGCAGTGAATCTCATGTCTTTACTGCATTCTGGTACTTCTTGCTCCCTTGGCGGCTTGGAGCATCTCCCCTCACTTTCTTCTCCCTGTATCTCAGCTTGGATTTCCTGCCTGGCTATAACCTGTCTTACCACAGGCCAAAGCAGTCTCTTTATTAACCAATGATAACAACACATATTCACAGCATACGGAAAGACATCCCACAGCACAGATGATCAATGGATGTTCTTTTACTGTGTCTCCTGTGTAATACTGAGGTCATCTTAATCCTTTGAACTATCGAAGTTGGGAGACAGGGAGAAGGCTGAGCAGAAAAAATGTTTGCTGTTCAAGTACGAGGCCTGCAGTTTGGGTCCCCAGGACCTGTGTGAAAGCTGAGAACTGCAGCACAAGTCTGTAAACCTCAAGCTGTGGGAGCATAGACAGGGAGATCCTGCTGACTTGGCTGGCCAGAGTCTTACCCAAAATGCAATTCCAGGGTCACTTGGAGACTCTGCCTAGGAAAATAAGGTGGCATACCTGGAAAAATGGCAGAGAAAGTAAGAAAGAACATTTGCTCTGCAAACATGAAGACCAGAGTTGGATCCCCAGGATCCGTGTAAAAGGAAGGAGTAGCCTGGGACGATGGAGGGGACTGTGAGTTAAGCACTGGGGCAGCAACAGGAACATCTCAGGAGCTCTGGGGCAGCCAGTCTAGATGCAACACTGAACGTGTGTTCAGTGAGAGAGCTTGTCTCCAAGCAGTAAGACAGATAGCCAGAGAGAAAGCTAGTCAGTGCCCTGCTAAGCCACTGCATGCTCAAAACATGCATCACAGACAGACAGACACATGCACACACACACCACCACCACCACACAGCACACCGTCACCACACCACACACACCACCAGACCACACACTCCACCACAACCCACACACCACCACTACACACACCCCACCACAACCCACACACCACCAC